AAAAAAAAAAAGGCTAGATGATGCTATTTTCGAAGCTCAATAATTGAAAACCTTATGCTAAAATAATTCATGAAGTCTGATGATTACCTATTAATATAAATGAATTCAAAAATGGAGGAAAATGACAGTCGGGGGTCCAGTGTCATTTAAGGCCTCCTAATCTCATCCTACTCATAGGCCAACGACTTTTCTCCACCGACTCAACTCCTTAACCTACTACATTCATTGGGAACCTTTTCAAATTGCAACCAGACAAAGAGCAAATCCCATTTTTGGTCCCTTGGGATTTTCTCAACATGCTCTTCCACATGATTCTTTTCTCCACTCTTCTATTGTGTGAGGCACCCCATCCATGCATTGTTCTGCAAGATCTGAGGCTTGTTAATTTATTTATTGCCAATAACCCATGATTTGTCACATCTTCTTTTCACTAAAACTCAATATATATATATATATAAATTCAAAGGCAGTCGTCTAGCTCATATTGATGGTAAGTACAATAATATTAGAGCACACTAAGGAGAGAACTAGGATGTCACAACATGAATATCATTTTGTTATGAGAATAAAGTGAGATTGAAATCTCTAGTTTACTCTATTAGCAACAAAGGTCCGTGATTGGTTTGGCAGAGAAGATCCCTATTAAAATATGCAGATAACATTTCTTTAAAAACGTGGGGTAGAATTAGAACGCTTGGCTTGGACACCTTAGGTCTTAAAATATTCAAAATCGCGACCTATAGGATTATATAATCGTGGAAAGACAGTAGTGATCAGTTATTTCTAACGCCGACATATATATTATAAAAAATTACAGGGGAAAGTGGTCACAAGTTTTCTCAATTCAATATTTTGACTAGAATAGGTTCTCCCTAACCATGAGAGAAATTGGAAAAATACCTGAAATACGTAAGGAAAAAGAATAAGGTGGGATGGAATATGTGATTTCTCCGTGAGATAATTGATGTGGAGCTCTCCCTACCCTTTGCCCACAGCATTGAACGCCAACGAAGCTACAAGGAAAAGCCCAAGGGGACCAAAAAAGAAAAAAAATAAGTATGCAAGTCAATTAGATCCATGTACAAGATTCAACCGTCGTCGAGGGATTGGTCTATAATTTTATGAATTTAATTTTTCTTTTTTTTTTTACAAAAATGATTTTCCCCTTCAATTCCTGAACAAGGTATTGATGGCGTTAAGAGACATATGACAGCTGAGAAATTCATGTACACGCCATGTGGTTTTACATTAGTGTAGGAGGCAGAGATGGTCATGATGCTAAGCAAATTATGAGTAGACTTCAAGCATCCAACTGGATTTCAAAGAAGCCTACCTTTATCAATTCAATCGGTTACTTATAAAAAGCTTATTGAACTTACAAACAAGTTATCATTTACAGCTGCTTTTTTTTTTATTCTTTCATTTCTGAATTTATTGTTTAAATAAGAAAGATTTGAGTCTTGGCATGTTTCTTTTGATTGACTAAGACTTTGCTTCGCGGTATATTATGCCTGAAAAAAGTGATTCACCACTTTTCAAGGGTCGGGATGTTCAAAGATTACTTACAAGTACAACAGCAAGTCCTATGGGAACTTCTCCAGCTTTTGGACAACCACAAACCACCAAGGAATAGACCCTTTTGGCCATGCCACCTAGACCTAGTTTTGGCGACGAAAGATAATTAATGTTTGTGGTCTTTTCCAATCATTCACTTTTTGGTTGCCTACCTCACTTGGTTGTGTAACTACTTTACAGGATAAAGAATGTATACATATTTCTCAAGTAAGCTGGCCATATTAGCTTCTAAAGCAACTGCAACTATTAATATATCCAAGGGCAGAGGTAGAAAGTGGAAGATCCCCCAAGGCCCAGGGACCTGCAGAACATGGAGGAAAAGCAAAATTCATGATCTGTTGATATAGTTGGTTATTATGGTAACTTAACTTTGCCACTCAGTGCCGCTTATTTTCATTTTCCCCGCAGGATTTTTGGGTTTGAAAACATGGGATGATCATATTATCGGGATTCCAATATCTGAATTGTTTTAAAAGGCTATGTAAAGGAATTAACATTCAAACTCTTATACCAGGATCTAATCATATCTCTACTGTTTGGAGCAATAACTAATTAAGCAGATTAGAACACCTTAATCCCTAGACTGACTATGGGCCATGTGTGACCTAAAGAGCTAAAGATTAATCTAGGATTAAAGAAAAGGAAGCTGCCGCCCCAAAAGAGAAAGAGGGGGGCTACTGGCTATAGGGTCACATATCTTTAGCAGATTACTCTATGACTTGAGGGGTGGATGCATGCCATTGATCATAGGAAATTAGCATGAAACAGGAGCTATCATTCTGCTTTGTTCGCTTTTCTAAATTACAAGGGTAGCTGTATACATAAAGTTAATACCACATGTTACCCAAATGGGCCGGAAAAAAGAGTAGGGATCCAAGAATGATTGCATTAAAACTTACACACTTGATACCTTAATGGCCAACTAAATCATCAATTGTTATCAATGGCTCCCCTTCTTGACCCAAAACTACCCTATGGATGCCTGATGGGGCAGTACTCCTTTTGGGTTCATTTGCATGCAGAAGATGATAACGCTGGAGCAGTAGCAAAAAGAAGTAAGACAACATCAACATTTTTTTATCAATCCCTCCATAATCTATATACATATAATTAATAATATAAAAAATGTGTATGATTTGATTGAAAGAGGAATACATTACACATAAAGTGGGTAAAAATAATGCTAATTAGTAATAATAATACAATATTGGTTCAAAATTCATAAATACATCACCGAAATCCTTAATTTTAACATAAGGGTGACACTGTCAATGTACTCCCCTTTAGTCATATACTCCAATAATTTGGGGAGGATAAAAGTTGGTCTCTCTCTTTTCTCTAGGATTGTCCACTGGCTTGGAGAAGCTTGCGAATGATACTAGTCTGTAAAGTGATTGGACCATGTTCCCCGGCACAAGCACCTTGACATTTTTCAGTGAAACAAAGGCTTTGCCTCACTTTTATATTGCCTTCCCAACACTGTGTTATGTTATACAACTCTCTTTTATTTTCTAAAATTAAAAAGTGCATGGTATGTATCTTCAACTTAATCGTCATTCAAAATAAATTAAAAGAGTGATACAAAATTACAATCAATAATGCCCCTTTCTATAATTTTTTTGGTACATTCGTTGATGTCCTTAATTTATAACATTTCACCATTTCTTTTACATCAATAATTGTTTGAATAAAATGATTAATTTCTCAATGTTTTTCTTTTAAGACATTGTATATTTTATTTGTTGCGTGTCAATTAACATTTTGGTAATGCTTTGACACTAAACAGGATAGGAGTATTACAATTCAAATATAGGATTTTCATCCAAATTTCATGGCATCCTTATCACTTGTTATTCTGTAACATTAAGGTTAAAATATATACTCAACAAGCTCCTAAGTTTTTTAAATTTTTAAAATAAATTCTTATTATTTATTTATGCATATAAGCTCTAATCTTAGGATTATATCCAGGCAAATCTTTATATTGACTAAAATTAATGTCATATGTATCATGTGGTCTTTTGGGTGGTTAGACTCATGGCATTTTTCCCACAAATGCATACTGATGTGACTTTCATGATGAGGCAAAATTGGTTAAGCGAATTTTTTTTTCACTTGAAACATAATTATTTTAATCAGTTAATTTCATCACATTAAAAAAAAAAAATTGCATCATCTACGATGAGTGAAAAGATACCAACTATGAGTTTTTCAACCATTAAGATCATAAACTACACTTATTTAGATACGAGAAAAAGATAGATATTATTGAGAAATTTGATTTATATAGTTGAAGAATTTGTTCATTATTTTAGCTTAATAGAGATTGCTTGAAAAGATTGTTGTCAGCATTGTTAAGGTCTGCAATGCTACTGTTGATGTTTATAAGAAAGAAAAGCAAGTAAGAGGGAAAACAAGAACATAAATTAGTGCATGGCTGGAACAGCCAACCAGCCATGTGCATGAGTTGCTTTGGCAACTTGGTCCAATTATTCACTTTCCATGGGCTTAACCAAATGGACTTGCCGATGTAACAGTTGGCAGCGCTTTACCACGGGGGCTTAAGATACTGTAAGGCCCCAATATTTGCCCTCTTCGTCTTTTCCTGATCCGGAGAAATAGATTTTTGCCAACTTTAGGCTGTCGATCATATAATCAGGATTTTTCAGTGGGCTGGGTTTCTTAACGACGGTAAAAATGCCTCTAACTTATTAAAAAATTTGGGAAAGAGATTTGCGCATACTTGCATTGGGATTTTGGGGCACCGTATCGAAAATTGACAGACACACACTTTCATAGCATCGTGAATTCTAAACTTTGTGGGTATAGCGAGCCATAAGGGTCAGCAACAATGTGCCTTTGGTGCCAACGAAGAATCTTAGTATTAACTATTCCTATCAATTATTGTTAGGATAGGATGGCATCCAACCACAGCTAGTGGGAGAGTAGGTAAGAATGAACCTCAATCTTTAGGCCCTTGTGGATTTTAGCCAGCCTTGTTGCAATTGCTAGTATTCCAGACTTCTATAAAGAGCATCACAAATCTATAGGTATTACTATCATTTATCATACATATTCTATAGTTTTCTGAGATAATGTCTTAGTGAAACAAACCGGCAATCCCACTGTGGCAAATATCCAACAAAACTGCAAAAAGAGAGTTGTTTTTTTTTGCTTTATTTTACTAAAACAGGTCCGTTGGAGCCTCCCAAGAACCGATTCTGGTGGCACTTGGCAATGGTGGGTTGGACTGGGGATGTACACGCGTACTAATAGAGCGTGGGTGATTCTCCTGGGAAAAAAATAAATCCATCCCGTACAACACTTGCAACGTGCCTTAGTGCCCTTTGTCAGGATCCCGCTGCCCTGCCTCTGCCGCAAATATAAAAACAAAACCCAAAATGAAATCGACCCCTTACACATTGTCCCCAGCCTTACAAAAAACAATACTTTTTTGCTGCATAGCCTTCATCACAACATGAGAATCAGAAACACTGGCCCTCGCTCCATTTCACCTCCACCTGATCATCTCTCTTCCATTTTACGACTACCACCCTCTCCACCGCCTGAAAAGCCAACCTTTTTCCCCACCAAAGCCATGATGACCGCTTCTGATCCGCTTTCTCCTCTTTACATGATCAACAAGCGCCACATGTCATGGTCAGTAGAATCAACGCCCGACTTTCCTCCTTGGACAACGGGGCTGATTCCAAAGACACCATCTTCAGCACAAGCTCTTATGCTCAAGATAGCTGGTCCATGTCAACTAATGAGATGTGAATGATTAAAAAGTTTCCATCTTTTTCATTCATGTTTGTTTTCGTTTTACTGTAATAACATTCGGCTGAAAATTTGGGCATGTTTGTACAGATTTGGGCACGGCATTTTTGGTCAGACTCAGACACCAACTTCAAGCTCAGCTTCTTCATCCCTATCTTACAATGGTATGCAACATTTTGTATGTCCATATACATTCTGAAATTTTAAATCAAAATGTTTTTTTGCCCGCATGTTGGGTTTAATACGGGACGATGTAGGGCACTGGTGTGAGGAAGAAAGAGCAATTCCATTGAAGAAAAGAAGAGTAGCAATGATAAGCTACGAAACAAAACAAAACACGGAGATTCAGATCATGAAGAAGCATGCATTGGGAAGGAAGCGAGAGATGGGGGAGATGGAGGGTTTTGAGAGGTGCAATAGGGAGAATGGGAAGGGATGGAGGTGTAACAAAATGAGAGTGAAGGGTCACAGCTTGTGCAAGCACCATTTGGAAATGCAAAGGATGAGAAATATCAATTGCCCCAGCAGAAACCAAGGGGATTCTTTGCTGGTAGAGCCAACCAAATGAGGGAAAACAAGAGAGTACGAGTGGTCAAGGCTCGATCCATGAGCAGCTTGCTTAGAGACACTGATCCATTGTTATATTAAAGTTGCTGAGGTAGTACTCGTGCTAGTATGGAATTAGCTTTAGCAGAAACTTGTAGTTTGATAGGCAAGCAGTGGGGAAGGAAAACTGTAGTAAATAGAAAATGGTAGACTGATAGTAACAGCAATCAAAATTGTAATGATGCATAGGTTTGACAGAAATCAAAATTGAAACAGAGACACGGTTCACGGTTGCTTCCTTGCTATTTCTTTGTATTTTTATTAGTTTCCATGTTGGGTGCTGGCCAGTCTGCCACGTATGTAGTTTGTTTCACAGTTTTCAATTTCCTTTCTTTTTTATAGGTCGCAAGGAAATTAGTGACTATTTGGTTGCTAGTAGGACTACTTTATATACAAAATTATAAAAATTATAATTATAATAACCTACTATATGGATATTATTTCATACAAAAAATCAATGAATAAACCGACAAAAAACTGGTATAAAATTACATTCAACTAACATATGATAAGATTCGAACTTAAGACTAAAAAGATATCATGACCACGAGCATGATGTGAGTACTCTAATATGATTTTATATTGATTTATTAGTTAATTAATTAGTTTTTTTATTGAATTTAATAATACTTTTGTTGAAAATTACTGGATTATGCATAATTTTATTTCTGAATGTAATTTTATTAAAATAATTCAACTTTTAAAAAAATTTATATTTACAAATAGTCATATTGATTTAGAATTAAAATGAACATAAAATTGAAATATATACTTATGTGATGACACTTGAACGTAAGATTATAATAGTTCCACTTTTGGTGCGGTTGAGACAGGATCTCATTGACCCCATTTAGATTATTTTGTTTTTCAAGTCATTTGGTTTTTATGTAATTTTTTATTTAAAATAATGCAATGTTTAATTAAATTACAATAATATATATCATCGTGTCTTATCATGCACAAATCAAAATTGAATTAGCTACTCCATTTTCCATTACTCAGAAAGAAAATAAAAGCTAAAACAAAAAAAATTATATATATATTTATAAATAAATTTTTATATTTTTATTGTATCTAATTAAGTATGTTTTTTTATTTGTAAGTATTTATTCTTTTACCTTTTAAAAAAAATTCTTATTACTTTCTTTTACTCAATTAAACCTAAATCTCGTAATAAAAATATAATATACCATATTTACGATAACAATAATGATCACTTGTTGTTGTATACATAATTTTTAATTTAATTGCTGATTAGGCACAATAAACACCAATGATGTGAGATTTTTTACGATACAGTGCACCGCGTCAACAATCACAATAAAAATTGAAGACGTGACATATCATATGTCTTTAATTATCATGTTACGTAAATTTTCTATGTATATAAGAAGTGAAAACTTTCAGTAAAAATAATATCTGTTATGTTTTCATTAGGGGATAAAAATTTAATTATATATAAATAAAAAACTTAATAAAAAAGAAAGAATTCCATTGAGAAAAGCATATAAAATAGTAAAATAGCTGTGGCTGACGTTGAACCAGTACACGAAAGGATGCAAAAGGCCGAGAAGGGAAGAACAAGACAAAAGATGAGGAAATTGGAAATAGTTAGAAAAAAGAGCAAAAGTTAGCTGCTATAGTCTAATAGCATTGTGGTCCCCACATCCCATTCTCCCTCCCTTACCTTACGGATAAGCCTTTCTTTGAACAGACAGTCTCTCTCTCTCCCCGTCTTCCAACGTTTCAAATGAATCAATCCACGCCAAAACGCAAACAAAGTATATCAGAAACGCAACTTCCGACTCTCAAACGGTGTTAAAAAAAGGAAACACAAAGGGCCCGAGGGTCTAACCTTCGAAGCCAGTTATGCTTTTCTTCTACTTTTCCAGATGCCCTTTTGCCTAAATATCTGATTTCCTATCAAAAATATCTTTGAAATAGTATATTGGAAGCAAAAGAAAGGATAAAAAGAAAAGATGTCAGTTTTGGCAGCAAATTCTCAAATTTTGTACAGAGAATTCTATCAAAGGGACCAACAACAGCAGCTTTGGAACAATGGGAGCTGTATGTTGTTGCAAAAAAATTGTGGGTATTTTGGGTTTGATAGGAGGAATGGAAAATGGAAGAAGAATATTGCAAGGAGAGATTGGAGAGTAGAAGCTCTTTGGCCCGATTTGTCCAGACCAAGTGCGGTTGAGATGGAACCCATCAACGATTCTGATCATCTTGATCAAATTCTGCTTGGTGCTCAAGAGCTCTCCCAGCCTATTCTCATTGACTGGTTTCCTCGCTCGCCATGTTTTTGTTAATCTAATCTTTATTTGATTTGTCCTCTGCTTCATGAATTGCAAAATGTTTAGGTCCTGCTTTTGTTTTATTGTTGATAGGATGGCTGCTTGGTGCCGGAAATGCATCTATTTGAAGCCTAAATTGGAGAAATTGGCAGCTGAGTATAATACCAAGTAATTTCCCTCCTCCCTCTTTAGGTTCTACTCTAGTTTGTGAAAATCTTTTACTAGTTTTGGAATCTATGCGTTTCTTAATTATGTGATCTTTTTGGCCACCTTACCCTTCATATAAAATTGCACAATATGTTACACCCCAACCTAAGGCAACCAATGTGTGTTTTAGGCTATATGGAAGGTTGGAGATGATAATTTGAGTAAAAACCTACATTCGAGTTCTAGCATTTTTCATCTCAATGAAAAGGCAGTCACCTTGAGGTTTTGGATTGAAGTGTTAAGTTCAAGCTGCACCATGATGAGTAATTGTATTTGTCATCAGCTTAAATCATCTATCATCCACTGCCCAACTGTTAGTCCTTGTCAAAAACTAGTTTAGCTATGAAATGCTTTGCTCTGCATTGGTTGCTTTAATTATTTTTGCTAATGTTCTTGACGTGTTCTTTTTTGTTTTAAATCCTCCTAGAATCAAATTTTATTATGTGGATGTCAACAAGGTACCTCAAAGTCTAGTGAAGCGGGGAAACATCTCTGTATGTATATGATATGCATTGTATAAACTTTCTTTCTCTCTTCGTAATCTGATATGATTTCTTTTTTGATTGTTTATGCCTCTCTGAGCAGAAAATGCCAACAATTCAGGTGCGTTGCCTACGAATTAAATCTGGGTTTGATATGAAAAGAGACGCTCTTATAAAGATTGACAGAAGGATCTGAAAAACTTGTTGCAGGTATGGAAGGATGGAGAGATGAAAGAAGAAGTAATTGGAGGACACAAGGCATGGCTTGTGATTGAAGAAGTGAGACAAATGATCCAAAAGTTTGTATGATTAAGCTACTGGGACTGTCACTCTTCTCTGTAGAATTAGCTCTTTCTCTGCTCTGCCATGATAAGGAAACTCACTTCCTATGGAAGAGCCATATTTGTACAGAAGAAATAATTCCACTAATCAGTGTTAATGCATAAAGGATAGATGCATCTTGAATTTGATGTATGAAATTAGCATGGCCATGGTATGCTGCAATTGCTGTGTGCAGAGAGGTCTACTTTGGTTTTTTATGTCTGCAAGTACCATAGTATGAAAAGCTTTGAAGATTGTTTGTATGCATTCTAAATGTAGCAATTAAAACTTGAAAGCCTTACGGTGGCATAATAATTTTGTTCGGCTATATATTAGAGTTGAAATACCTAGACATTGTTTTCTTTGTTTCTTTGTTTTTAACATTTTTGTTAAGGTCGCATTAAACTAACAAAATTGCAGAAGTACAAGCCAAACTGTTTCACCAGAAACGAACGAAAAAAGCCTGTGTGGCCATGCAGTTGTTGTGAGACATTTATTACTCTAAAATACATAGTACAACATATGAGTAAGTACGTCGCTTTGGCCGAGTGGTTAAGGCGTGTGCCTGCTAAGTACATGGGTTTATCCCGCGAGAGTTCGAATCTCTCAGGCGACGTTCCATCTTGTTTTCATTTTTAAGTTCTCTAATCAAAGTTTAATACTAATGCTATGGGCCAAAAACCTCTTAAGTACACCACGCCACAGGGCTTTTTTATTGTCTGCCACAACGAAAAAAGTTCCAAAGGACCCAAAGTTAAAAATCCTTTGATGTTCTTTCAATTTTAGCAAACACAATGTAAAAGACAAATCTCCCTATTAAGGATGCCATGCCAAGTGGAGCTAGGTTTCGATGTGATGGGCATTACACGATGTGCGTTTACGAGGATTAAGTCTTGCTAGGGCCAGCCAGAAGACAATCCCTTCGGCTTTCTAGTATTGCATCATTTGTGCCGACATTTTCCACACAAATAAGGCATTGATTCTTGCAACCTAAAACTATATAAACGTGGACAACTGATCATTAGTACCCGCTGATAACATCACAGTACAAAATGAAAAATGGAACTGCAGAAGCTAATTCTTAAAAGGAGAGGTACAGTCTAAGACTAAGAATGGGGCTACCTTCTATACAATCTAGGCAAAGCTTTCTAGGGCGAAAAATTTCATCAGGCAAGCTCAAAAAAAAAGAAAAAAACTGTCGACCCTGTATTATGCAGAAATATATAATGGTGATAGTGCTGAAGAAAATTCTTTAAAAGGCTGAAAGGTATAGGGGTAAGGGCAATGAGAAACAATCCTGACAAGGGGCAGAAATTGAAGTTGCAACTCTCAACAATCATGTCCAACCTAGGGAAAGAATCCTTACCATACTGCCCTAGAATTGAAACTGAGACTTACTCCTAACACATGCAACGGAGCAAACATGCTCGCTATGCTACTAGTTATAGCACTTTGATGATGTAAATTGTCTTTTCTCACTAGACTGCATCCATCTTCTTACGTCCACCACTGAGCGTACTTCATTTGTACATCTAGTTGATCATCCCATCAACATAACCACCTAAAGCTACATGTCCACTACTGAGCCTACTTCATTTATACATCTAGTTGATCATCCCATTAACATAACCACCTAAAGCTACTTCACCTGCCCACACACTAGATATAACTAAAAAACATATTAATCCCCATACCTTAAGCTCTCTTTTACTCTTTACTGATAACCCCTTAGCAAAGGGATGAATACATGCAAACAACAACCTCCATTACAATTAACTTTACTATCAGTAAAGGATCCAGATATCAAAGTTAAAGATAAACAACAATTTCAATATCCATTTGTTTGCAGGAGTTAAACCAAACCACTGCAAGGCCATCCACATGGTTTTCTTCTAATCTCATAATCGCTGTCTTGTAGCTAACAGCACTCTGTATTACATGGCCTAAGATTTATCTTCATGCTCTTTCAAATGCCAACACAATTTGCACAAATAAGAAAGTGCTTCACTTTGGACAAGTAAACATGTTAGGTGCAAGAGAAATTTCATTATAAGCACAAGTAATCCCATATAATGAACTCTTATATCACCATGCACACTATGACAACAGAAATAATATCATGCTTTCAATTGTATTCCCAAACAAGCAAACCAAAGAGAATAACTAGCCATACACCCCACTCATGGTAACTATGATCCAAGCTCCAGATATGAAAATTAAAACCAATTGAAATGCTTCCAAAAACATAAGTTATCCAAAACCTACATTAACTGGACCAGTAATTAGCCTGACAATACCTCTGGCAAAGACAGGAGCTCAGTAATCAAATTCAAACTACATTAACACAATCAAAAAATCATTAAATTATCCTTAGAAAATGCACCAGCTGAGTGCCATAGTTATTGCACCAGATCTCTACTTCTTGTGACAACATGAAAACCATAGGCAACCAAACCACAAACTTCAACTTGCCCATAAAGACCTAATACAATTCAGTTCTTATATGTTTTAACAGAAAAAAAAGAACGGCACAATTTGACCTTTTTCAGAATTCTGACAAATCATAGGAGCAATACAAAGAGATAGTAGAGAACTAAACCTGCGAGGTGATTAGATTTTCACTCTTAAGAACATCATTTCATTAACATGAACAAAGATCTTGCGAAAGTACACCAAGGATGAAGGTCCTCAAGTGGACCCAATGCATAGAATTACAATAGTCACTGTAAGACAACAGTTTCGTCATTGTCAAGGTTATAAGTTTAAAGGGATAGTTCAGATATTGGAAAACAAGACAGAGCTGACTCTCAGTCCAACTTCCAAGTTTAAAACCATGAACCATAGACCAAAATCATACTTGTTTGGCTCATACAAATCTGTCACAATAATTGCTGAAAACAGACACGTTTTAATAAAATTCTAGAATTCAGAAACAAAAATGAAAGACTTTCCTCATTTAGGAATAAAATAAATCATATTCCGAAACCAAATACTGCCCGAATCTTATTAAAAATAAGATCCCTCCATCCTCTCTCCGTGTTCTCCACCACAGTCGCATTCCCATATCTGCATTACGCATCCGCATAAACCCAAAATCAATCACCCAATTCAATCGGTAACGTATTTGCCATATTCACAATAAAACAACTAAGGATAGAAACCAACCTGTCCTCCTCCGGAACATCCGTATGTGTGAGCTTGATTATAGTAACTCCAGGCTGAGGCTCATCAAAAACAAGCCTTACCTGCAATCACAACCCATTACCAAAACCATCATTCAATCACTCTCTGAATCTCAAAAACTTAAAAACAAACAAAAGAAAAGACCAATTAAACTTACCGTAGAATCAATCCCATCAGGCCAACTCCCAAATCTCCATCTCTGAACAATCAACTTCCCTTCTTGCAACTCCAAATTATTCCCAGTAACTGACCCATCGAAAATGCTGAACTGCCCACCAACGTCTTTGCTAATCCTAGCATTACTCTGCGTAAACCCTTTCCACCTATTCTCATCCATCAAGATTTCATACATATCCTTAGCTCTACAGTTAAACTTCTCGGACATTGTAATCGTCTTAAACCCTTTTTTCCCTTCCTTTTTTGCTTCCTTCTTCACTTCCTTCTCCACCACAACTTTCTCCTCAGACACCCCAGCTGAATTACTACTACTATTACTGTTTTTGGGAGCCAATTTCTTGGCTTCCAATTCATCTTTAGCGGGGCCTCCTTTCGCCATAGTTTTAACGTAATCCCTCACTTTTTCTAAAACCAAAGGCTTCCCTTGGCCAGCATCGCTTCCTTCAATGTTTTCCCAATGGATCCTTCATCTTTAACCGTCACCTTAACTTCCGGATCCTCGTCAGCATTCTCATCCGAAATATATGGAATCTCAACATTACCGTCAACTTTCAAGAGCGTCTTCCCTTCTCCATCCTTGGCTTCGCCTTCCCATGATAAATTTACACTGATTTCATATCCAGGAATAATTTTACCCTTCCGGACGTTGAGGTAGGCTTCGCCGTCGATTTTTCGACCTTCTTGGTCTTGATGTGAAGATTGGCTTCGCCGTCGAGGTGGTGAGATTGGAAGGGATTTGGTGAAGAAGGTTTTAGACCATGGGAGACAATCGGTTTCCGCCCAGTGCCAGTTGTGGACATTGGCTCCATCGGGTCTGTCCTCCACGATCCATCGCTTGTCACCTTCGCCGTACTTGGCCATCGAGAAAAAACAAAAAATGGGGTGTTCAGATTGAAAGAGAGAGTGTTACGTGCTGGGCCGGGGCTTTGATTGAGGGAAGTTTATAAAGGCAGCTGAGAGAAAGGGGAGGGTGGGTTCTCTGGAGGGTTCGCGGTGAGGAAGAGTCTAGAATGTGGGCGTCCGCGGTGGTTTTGGGGATACACCAAAAAACACCATTAAACTAAATCTCCTCTCCCTCTCTCTCTCTCTCTCTTTCTTATTTTCCTTTGGAAGGATCTGGAAGACCATAACTGAATCTGTTTTTAGGGTTTCTTTCTTGTTCGTGAGTGAAGTTTGGGTTAGGCCAAGCGGTCCAAGAGACCCAATCTCCACGTTGTACGTCACCACTTCACCTTGTCCAATACGTTTTATTTTCATTTTCTTTTTGGATTTATTAAAGAATTTCTTTAATTTTTTTGGGTTGTTTTTTTTTAAAAAAATAAAATAAAAAATTCGGATTGTATCAATAAAAATGTTTATGAGGGTCTCTACGTGACAATAGATTAAATGTGTTTTATTATTAGGTTGTTTAGAAGTTTTTTATTCATTGTTTTCATATTATTTAAGAACAATGAAGCATTCCATGTAGGATAATATAATCTTTCAAAAATTAAGTATTATACCTTAGAAAAGAAAAAGACAAGATTTCTGTAAAAATGTCTTAGGTAAAACATTTTTATTTTTAAATTTTAATTAAAATTACATAAAAATTTATTAATTTTTAAAATAAATATTTAATTTTAAATATTTAAACTATGTTAATATTAAATATAAACTATTTAAAATACTCTCTTTTTTTTTATTGATTCTTTCTCTCAAGCCGATTGACGGCTTCTCTCGTATTAGTTGACCACTCATGGAGAACATCAGATCGATGCCCCTTGAGAGCACTAGAATCCTGATCGGACTCTCGTAGGGAGCATTGGAGTTCTTAAAGGAAGCCCCAAAATCAAGCTCCTCGGTGCTCCCTTGCTAGCCTCAATTGAGCTCTCCTGGAGTTCTTTTTTTTTTAAAAATTAATAAAATTATATAATAATAATTTTTAAAATGAATAAAAAATAAAATTATTTTTTAATAATATTATTTTATTAAATTAATAAAAACATTAACGATTCACTAACGATTAAATCTATGCATTTAGCAAAAGAGTTTTTTTGAGATGAAATATTTATTTTAAAAATTAATAAATAAAATTTAAATAAAAATTTAGAAAGGAAAGAGTATTTTACTCAAATAATTTAAGTTAAAATCAAGAAATTTCAATAAATAATGATTAAATAAAAATTAAAATAAATTAATAAATTAAATTTTTAGTTGCATAAATAAGTATATAAATTTTTTTGTATAAAGAAAAAATTTTATTGAATTAATTTAAAATAACATCCTATGTCATTTAAAAAAAAGACATCTATGTCATTGGATACCCAAAGAGTCCGTTAATAATAAATATAAGATGTTTAGTGATACTTTGTTTAAATAAATATTTTTATAAAATAATTATGATAAAATTGTTTAAATAAATACCCACAAGTATTGCAATGTATGAACAAATACCCGCCAAAACCCAACCGAGGTCAACATTCAACGGCCCCTCTATACTTCAAATTCCGACCAAAATCAATTTCCTTTTGGTCTCCTTCAACTCCTTTACTTTGCCTCCAAATGAACCCAACTCGCCGATTCAAACGAGTTGCTTCAAAACCCAATAGATCAATCCAACCGAGTCAATCCAGTAATGACCTGGAAACTCGGACGAGTCACCGTTCCAAATCAGTGACCGTTAGGGCCAAACCCAAACCCAGACAAATACAACCCCAGCCTCAACCCAGACTCAAAATCGAGTCTTCTCCAGTTTCTGACCCTTCTTTTCCCAAAACCACGATACTGTCCCCCGGGTTCTTTCAGATTGACGCTCTTGATTTGGCGCCACGTTTGCTTGGCAAGTTTTTAAGGAGAGATGACGTTGTTCTTCAGATTACTGAGGTAAATTGTGAGCATTTTTTTCTGTTGATCTCTTTTCCCGAATTCTGTTTTTTTCTCGAGAAAATAGAAACGAAAGATCGAATTTTGGAGTTTTTTTGGCGCTGAGTTTTTTTCATTAATTGGCGTAGTTGACTTGTGGTTAAATGCCCATTTGTTTGTTTCTGCGAAAAACCAAGGAAAATTGAAGGAAACTCATTAAAATTTTCATTTCGAGGCTATAGATATATTTATATACTAATGGGGTTTTACCAAAGTTTCTCTTTTGTTTTTTTACTTTCGATTTTCTTTGCCATGTGTTTTTTAATTTCAATTATTATGCTTTGACAGGTAGAGGCTTATAGACCAAATGACTCAGCTTGTCATGGTAGGTTTGGAATCACAGCAAGGACAGCCCCTGTTGTAAGTTTAGCTACTTCTTTATTCTTTTACATGTGCTTGCTAATTTGGATTCTTGTTCATTAATATCTTGAGAGTTTTATGATTATTTCTGTTGATTGAGTAATATTTGTTGATTTGCTTTATGGGGTTGTTGCAGTTTGGTCCTGGAGGGCATGCATATGTTTATCTTTGCTATGGTCTTCATACAATGCTCAATGTTGTTGCTGACAAGGAAGGAGTTGGGGCTGCAGTCTTAATACGAGCATGTGCCCCAGTGTGCGGTAATTTGCTGTATTACTATAGCTAGCTAACTCTTAGCTTTTATATGCACTTGTATTATTTTCTGTTACATTGCTATTTCTTATACTTTATACCTTATTTGGCCTTTAGTTGTAGTGAATGTAAAGATAATCAAGCCCTGAATCATCCTGATTCAGTTACTTGCAGAATTGCAGTTGCATAGAAAGTGTAGAAAGTGTTTTTAAATACTTATACCTTATATTTTTCTCTACTGTTAAATATCTGAGAACTTTTTCAAACTTGGTAGTTAATAGCAAAATGAGCAGAGAAAGCGTGGAGTCTTGACAAAATTTAGTGAGAATTTTCATTTCTGGTTTTCTGCCCTTCATTACAATTTCAGTTTTTATATGCTATCTATATTGAGTCTGAAAAGCCAGTATAGTATTTATCAAAGGCTATTTTTCTTGAAATATATGAACGCCTTCGCAGGTTTAGAGACCATTCAGCAGCGCCGAGGTCAGCAAACTGAGAAACCTATTCTTCTCACTGGACCTGGAAAGGTTAGCGCTGATTCTTTCCCCCTTTTATTTTTGCAATAGCTTGATCTTCCTATCTGTTTTACTTAATTGTTTGAAGATTTTGTGAAAAGTATTAACGGAAGGTAATTTCATGTTCTTGTATCTGGGAGATGGTTTTGTTGGTTTGATTAGCATAAATATGTTTTAAATATTAGTTTGGGATAATTAGCACATGAATTTTTCCTTAAACAAAGATTAAGTCTTATGCTTTATATCATTGGATCACATAAATGCAAATTGAATTTGTTAGTAACTTGAGCTATTGCAACAAAGTTCATGCTCAATACGTAAGAATTGGATGATGAAAAGGAAATGGAAGTGTTATGGAAGGCAAAAAATATATTGCATTTATCAATCTCAGCTTTCCTATGAAGCAGCGTTAAAGTGACTCAAACTGCTTTGAAAAGATACCAAAATTTCAAGGCTTTAATGGTTTCACAAAAGAATGTTCAAGAAGTGAAAGTGCCATATCTCTATAAGTATTTTGCAGGCAAGCCTGCATGCACACAGGAAGATCATCTCTGCCGACTCATGTGCATATGTAATTCTCAGTTTGCATTCATCTTTTGAACTGCTTTTTTCAACATTGATGGAAAATTAACTTTTGATTTTTTTTTTATATTTTCATTTCAAGCTTCCAAGTCATTTAGCCAAAAATAAAAATAAAAATCATCACTCTAGCTAATAAAATGAGGAGGCATTCATGAAATATCAATTGGGAAAGAAGTTCTATGAAAAGGATTTACCATTAATGTGCAATGAGGTGAGGAAGTTCTTTCTTTTCTAGATTGAAACATTGGTCGCTCATCTACTTGTTGCTAACAATTAACAAGGAAAAAATGGCAATATTTAGGTAGCAAATTTTTCCAGTCTTTCTTGTATTAAAATTTCTTTAACTCAGCAATGAGAGAAATAACTTCTATGAACTATTACTGCACAGAGTTATCAACTCTTTGGGTAATGCAGGTTTGGTGAGCTATTAATTTCTTATATTTGAATGAAGGTTGGTCAGGCACTTGGAATTTCCACAGAATGGTCTAACCATCCCCTTTACACTCCTGGTAATTAGTTGTGATTAATGTACCATGATTCTAATTTCCAGTGAAATCTATGTACCGTGTAGTGCAGTCCTGTAATAGAATATTCAATAAATGTGGATAGGTGGTCTGGAACTCTTAGATGGGCCACAGCCAGAGAAGATAGTAGTTGGTCCTCGTGTTGGCATTGAATATGCTTTACCTGAGCACGTTAGCGCCTTGTGGAGATTTGCCATTGCAGGTACCTCTTGGATAAGTGCTCCTAAAAACACTCTCAGGTCTCCCTAGCTACTCTTGAATTCTTGGCAGGTAAGGGGACTCCTTGTTGGGATTGAGCACAGGAAATTATATTCATATGAACTGTTTTCAATCTCTTTCTGTTTTCCTTTGTCATTGGAGTACAGGAAAGTGTGATATGTGAAACATGTTTCAAAGCATTGTAAATAAAGAAAGCCTATAAAGCAAACAGAAATTTCTCAATGTCTTGCTCCTATATGACCTAAGCCTTAGTTTTTTTTCTACAACATATTTTGCTAATTTTTACTACATATTATTATTATTATTATTATTATTATTATTTGCTCTGATATTCTCGCTATTTTGACTATTTAAACACCGACAAGGCATGTAAATATCCTCCTAACGCTACCAGAGCTAGGTTTAAGAGTTAGAAGCAAATTGTTCATCAGTAGTTATGACATCAAATTTCTTGAGCTTTAAGTTACTGATCTTTTATGGAGGGATTCTCTCAAGATTGTGTTCAATTTGATGGCTTTGAAAAGCTTGTTGAATGCTTTAGTCCTTTGGGAGAGTCCTCTTTTCAACCTCAAGGAAATAGTGCTTCTTCTTCTCTCGACCAAGTCGAAAGCAAAACCCTGCCTGATGGATTTTCTGATGAACAAGATGATCAACACGTGAAGGATAATGGTGGAGATGATCATTGTTCAGAAGAGAGTGATGATGGTGATTTTCTTTTAGAACTTGAAGGAAACTATGCTTCTTCCCCCGACCATGTCAAAAGTAGTAGAACCTTCCCTGATGGATCTTTTGATATGCAAAATAAAGAAGACAGTGAAGATGATTCTTCAAAAAAGAATGAATTAGACGATACTACCGATGATGATTATTCTTTGCATGAATATATCTACTATCAATCTCGATTATATGATTGGTATGAATGTGTTTATCGGTGTTTTCCACTTTCTTTTGTTGACAAAACATATCCAGAGATTGGTAATAAAATCATTATGCCTGCCGAGGCTCTCATGTTTCTCATGGCAACCAAAATCTCCATTCTTATGCAATTTGAGATTTAGAACCAATCCATGGGAAGGGTTTCCCATTGTGGGGTTTTGGAGTTCACTGAGGACAAGGGTTTAGTTTACTTGCCAGATTGGATGCTGAAGAGCATGCGACTGCAAGAAAGTGATCTCGTGAATATAAAGAATAAAAAGTTGGAGAAGGGAACGAATATCAAGCTACAACCTCACAAATTTGACTTTTTGGGGATCTCAAATCCAAAACCTGTATTGGAAAAAAATTTGTAAAAGTTTTCTTGCCTGATAATGGGGGATACCAATATAATCAACCATGGGAATGAGAATTTTTATATTAACATAGTGGAAACCAAGCAATCTGTTGCTATTAGCATCGTTGATGTAGACTATGATGTGGATTTTGCTCTTGTAAATGCTCAATTTTGATTAACTATTATTTTTTGAAGTGTTGTGTTACAAAATAAGAACAAGCGTAGAATAGTTATTTCATATGTTATGTTACCCAATAAAAAATAAGTGTGAAACAACTATTTCATACTAGAAAATAAAAGTAACTCATTATGAGTGGTAGATTTCATGAGTTATTTTCACGTTTGAGATGTTCTAAAGAGCTTGGCTTGGTGACTTAGATATGAAAATAGTTAAAAAAATTTCTTCTTAATTTTTTCTTGAAGTACATATGCTTTTACTTTTCTTTTTTTCTTTCAATAGAGTGCACGTGGTGCACTATCAACTGTCATTACTTCACTATCCAAAATTTACACCCATTACCTAACTACGTAGTCATTTTCTTAATATCTCATAAGTTGTTCTTTAACGTGCTCTTCCATGACAAGCGCGTTTTCCCTTGATTGAACTTCATATCCAATAACCTTGTTCTTCCATGACAAACACATTCTCTAATAGTTGAACATATTCTCCAAATTGTTCCTAAGAAAACACTATTGTTCAATATAAATGTGAGTGCTTTAGAGGTTAGGGGCAATCAGAAAGAATCATAAATTCAATAGAGACTATCTTCAAAATTCTCTCAAAGCTCTTCCAAGCATTTTCTCTACTCAGCATTTTCCACCCATCGTGCTCCGCCACTTTCTCCACACTTCTTGTTCTTCATTGCTTGCCACCAAAATAGTTATACTTCAAGGACTGCTCCGGTCTTCCTTTCTATCACCTCTAACTTATTTTGTTTCATTTAGTAGTATATGTCCTCTTTCTTTTTACTAAAAGAACCATCTACATTTTGTTGACAACCTTTTCAACCAATGCTCAGAACTTTGTTACAAAGGAAGAACTTGAGAAGTTGTTCGATCAGAAGAACAAAAGCCTCAGCTTCTCAAAGTTTGACTTGAAGCTAAACTCTATCCTAAGGATTACACTAGCTCAAAATTTAAACAATTCAATGGCAAGACCAGTGTTGCTCAAGAACACATCATGAAGTTTGTGAAAACCTTAGGAGTAGCAGGTTTGGATGACGATTTAACGTTGAATGAGTTCTTTAAGTCCTTCACTGAGAAAGTTTACACTTGGCATATCAATCTCACTCTTAGTTTAGTTAACTCTTGAAACCAGATGTGTAGGATGTTCAGGGAAAAGTCCTTTTCTATTCAAAAGAAAGTGACTCTTATTGATTTGAGAAGGGAACACCAAAAGTCAAGAGAGGATCTTATGGAGTACATATAGTGATTTAGAGAATGGGTATTAGATATACATGATTTTCATAATGAAAAGGAACTGATTAAAGTTTACATTAGGATATGTTCGATGAATATAGGGTGCATTTGGAAAACTTACCTGTTCTTATTTTTACCATTTTAGTCGAAGCTGCACGACTGACCAATAATATAGTTCTTAGGCAAAAACGAGTCAATTGTTTTAACAAAAGGAACATCCCAACTACAAACTCAATCCGAGGAGGTAGAGAATGAAAAAGTTCTCGAGAAAGTTTGAGGCCAAGGTGTGACAATTTCAAGAGAAGACAAGATGAAGAGATTGTTGCACCCCCTCCATTCTCAGTTCCACTTGACCAGTAAAGACACTTCTTTAGAAGTGGATTAGAGATGGATAAATAAAATTTTCAAGCATAGGAGGTACTTAACGAATTCTCCCTATTTGCATTTTCTTAAAAAGAGAAGTTGCAGTAGTATTCTCCATTTTCTTTCCCATAACAACCCTACCAGGCTCACCATAATGAACTTTTAATGTAAAACGAGTCTTGATCATAAAATGAAAAAAAAAATTCCTACAAGCACGAATGACAAAGACAACGAAATAAATATTCATGTATTATCATTCTTACCTATGCACTATCACGTCCTCTAAATTATAGTAATATTCCATAATTATTTATTTATTTTTATCTTTGCCCTATGTTTGTTTATTTATTCTTATCTTTATACCAAACAAAACAAATTAGGATATATATATATATATATATATATATATGTCACTAAACATATATAAAAAAAACTTCCTCTCTAGGAAAAACTAGTGGCAATAACAAAAAAAAAATCTTCTTCTTTGTTCCATATGAAAGCTGTGTTACAACAAATAAAAAAATATATTGTTGAAAAGGAAACTTACTTGTTCAAAGAAACCGTTAAGAAAAATCTTAGAAGTTAATTGTAAATTTTTGCAAAACTATTTTCTCTTGTTTATAGATTTTGGGAAAGTATTTTTCTAGTAAGAATCTAATACTTTAAATTTTCTTATCAAAATTTTTTCTCCATCTCATTACTTTTCTCGATATATTTCTACTTCGTTCTACTATTTTGATCTTTTTCTATTATCATACTTTAAAAAAAAATTGTATGTTTAAGTCTAAAATAAGCCCATGTCTTACTTGCCCAACTAAAAAAAAAATCACAAAATAGTTCTTTTTCTTGCGCAAGTTCATGATAAAATAAATAAATAAAATGCAATACTAAAAAAATTCATTTTAGTAAGATCATAGTTCTTTCGCCACTATAACGGTGCCATTGTTTCTTTTCTTATTCGAATATTTTGTTTGTCAAGTTGATGTAAAACTGTTTATATGATCATAAATAGGAATTGTCATGTTGTGATACTTGTCCATCTCCTAAAATGATGATGTAATCCATAATACATTATCGGTTGCCTGCTATTCTTCTAATTATTTATGGAGTCAACGACTTCTATTAAAAGAGAAAACATTAAACAATCTGTTTGTATTTCATTCGAAATATAGATAATCATTTATAAGGGAAATATCTCATCCTTTAAGCAACCCTTGATCTTCTCTTCCTTTTCCCACATAAAATAAATCAATAGCTTTATTTGCATTCCTTTTTTTTGCACACACCAAGGTTTATTATTAATCACAATATTCTAATTACATATGAAATTTTTATTTTTCGTAATAAAATTCTTATGTAAGGGCAAAACTACACCAAGTATTTTAGTGACATTCCAAAAGCGAAAAATGCCGAAAGACTTTCTCAAATGCAACAACAACAACAATAATAATAATAATAATAAATGTATAAATTTACAAACTATTCTGTATTCTTTATATATATATATATATATATATATATATATATATAAACGTTGCTTTACTAATTCTATGTGCATTTTCTTGTTTTATGCATAAAACTCTCCATAAGAACTTTAAAGTAAGAGCTAAACTGTAGATGCCTAGTTTGAGTAACTATTAATTTTTTAAGTATTGTACTACAAAATAGAAATAAGCGATGAATAATTATTTTATATTAAAAATTGAAAATAACTCAGAACAAGTGACAAGTTTCATAAGTTATCTTTACATTTGAGATGTTATAAAAAACTTAATTTGGTAGCTCAAATATAGAGATAATTAATAAGACTTATTTTTAACCTTTTTTTGAAATACATGTATGTTACTTTTTTTTTCTTTCAATAAAATACACGTTGTACACTATCAAATGTTACTACTCTACTATTCAAAACTTACACCCACTACTCAATGTTACTACTCTACTATTCAAAATTTACACCCACTACTCAATTATATGATCATTCTCTTCATATCTCATAGATCATTGTTTAACATGCTCTTCCATGACAAGCCTGTTATTTCATAATTGAACTTCATGTCCGATAAACATACTCTTACATGATAAGTATGTTCTCTTACAATTGAACATTTTTTTTCAATTATTCTTAAGAAAGTGCTTTTATTCTGTATAAATATAAGAACCTTGAAGGTTGAGGGCAATAAGAAAGAATAATAAACTCAGCCAAAAAAGCCATCTACAGCTCCTTCAGATTACAAAGAGCCTGAAAAGTCTACACCTAAATTTGCTTTAGGGAAGGAACAAGAGGGAGCAACTCAAAAACCCAAGTTCAAACCTTTCACGGGTTTGGCTAGAATCTTGGATGGGATTCCTACTTCCACAGCATTAGATTAAGCTTCTTTTCCTAATGAGCAACCGTCATCCGCTGCGCTTGGGAAAGGCGGGGCTGCCGAAGCAAAATCCAGGTCAAAGACAAAGATAAGTTCACAAGGATGTCTTACAATCGGATAGGAGCCAGCCTCAAAAAAAGGAAGAGAACTCACAGGCGAGAATGTGGAAGCTGAAACTTTGGATAATAAACCAAAGTTTCAGCCCTTCACTGGGAAGAAGTACACATTGGCTGGGTGATATCGGCCTTACCCATCAAAATGGTTTATTTAGTAATACTGACAGAATTTTATTAATTTTTTTCTTTCAACTTTTCTTTTCATTGATTAATCTTTGCATTACAATAAAACTTTTATAAATTAATCTTTGAGATTACGAAAATTTATTAATTAATTGAAATATTATTTAATCAATAAATTAATAATTTATTAATTTATACATTAACTAATAAAAAATGAATTTATCCAAGTATTTTTATTTTTTTAAATATTAAACACACATATATTATATATTGTGATTATATAAATATTATTTAATTATCGAATTAAGAATTATCATTATTCACAATTAACAAATTATTAAGATCTCATGAGAAATAACAAAAAAATAAAATTCAAAACGATAATTTTGTACTACAAGCACAAAGATAAACTTAAAATAATAATCATATTACATAATTTTTTCTTATAATACAAAAACACTATACTAAACCTTGATAAGGTCCCAAAAGATATCAATTTCAAAAAAAAAAAAATAACATTACAATCATAAAAAAATTATATATTTATATATCAAATTCAACCTATGTATTTTTTTAATATATTATCTTATAAATTTAATAAATTATTAATTTATCATATTAATTCCAAATCGAAACCAGTTAAAATTATTATTTAATCAAAATTATTAATTTATTAAGTATTAATTTATAAAAATTTTAATACCTTTATCTTAAACTCAAAAACCATTAAAATGTGGAGCAGTTGCAAAATTTTAAATTTCTTTGTTCTGCCACAACCAACAAGGTAGTTTGAAACAGGTTCAGAAGTGGCAAATGAAGATCTATGGCTTGACCTTTTTTTAACTTAAAAATTATTATAAATTTTTTTAAAAAAATAATAATTTTTTAAATTAAACTAAAATAATTAGATAAATTTACATTTATATGATCTTTTTAATAAACTCTAATATTGGTTAAAATTACTACAAAAAGTAATTCTTTTTTTAAGAAGATAAAATTGAGATTATTTTTAATAAATCAAGACATTTTTTAGACAAAAATAAAAATTCTCCTGTGTTTTTAAAAGAAAAAACTCTTCTGCGGAGCTAAGCTGAAAAAACCTTCGACCAAACAAACAGGTTAGACAGATAGGGAGGTCGAAATAGTGGAAATTCAAACCATAAGAAGTAACAACTTTGCTATACAAAATCCAAAATTCTTTGGCAACTTTCAGCATTCATCAGCACTGGATAACAAGCTCTGCAGCAGAAATAACAGATACTATAATAACTGCTGGAGAATGCTAAAGAAGGAAAATGAAAAACAGAATTAAGAGTATGGCAGAGAATTAGGTTCACATTATCATTGCATAAATAAACTAAAACTTTACAGGAAACCTAACAGATCTTTGCATCCCACAACAACAATAATGAATGCAAACATGTCATCCCTATGAAAACAATAACGTATGCATTCCATGATATAACCAGGTTACACTAGTCCAAACCATCAGCTATATTGAAATATTAATTTCCCACAATATTTTTTACAAATAATGTATAATCGTAACCAGAGAATAAGGTCAAAGGAGTAAGCTCAAAAGCAGCAACCATTAGAACAGTCTGTAATACTTTGAACTCAAAAGTTCTAGTTCTTGCTGATCTCTATTCAACTCCAAAAATACAAACCAATCACTCTTGGTATTGCAATGAGAGATGTTATATATATTACACGTATGCTGATGCTCCTTTATAGTAGAAAATCATGAAAAATAGTCAATCTTCCTTGTGAACGTGTATCGGCCACCACACTTTGCATCGCGAGCCAAACTTACAGCAATACCAAAAACCAGGCTTTGCAACCAAAAAGGAATACAAAATCACAACTTAATGCCACAAATAAATATCCAAGGGAAGGCCAAAAAAAATTCTAGTTAAACCAGATAAAAGGATATAAAAATCAAACATATAGAATGAATTGCTCATAAATTAACAAATTGAGAAATATGGTACGAATATACAAGCTTACAACATATAAGTTGTAAGAGCTGTAAGGACACACTAATGAATCATTGGACTATCGGATTCAAAACGTGTACACTACTACATTGAACACCACAATAAAACATTACAAAAATACCTTCAACTGAACTGCAAAGTTCCACACAAGCCATCAGAAAGCACACCATCTGAAAGGTAAGAAGCAGTGTCAGATATATGGAAAAGAAAAATAGAACAAAATTTAAATAAAGAACATCTCAAGTTGTCTTACCTAAAATCAAGCAATGTCCTACAAATTGGTCAGTCTATACAGCTGCCAGATGACTGAGTTTAATTCATGTGGCAGCATGGCGGAATTGACTTAGTGAATTGAAGCACTACATTCGTGTCCCAAAATGTTAGAAGCAATTCCTTAAACCCATATGTATTGACAGCATTTTATACGGTAGGATGCTGCTGACTATAAAATTCAGTGAAATCTAGCCGAAAAAGGAGGAATTTCAAATCTATATGTTGCTGAACAGGCAACCGAGCTAAGAAACCCTCAAGCAATGATGTATACTCTGTAGCTAATGCATCTAGATCTTGTCCCATATTTTGAAGGAATTCACTAGCACGTTGTGTTATGGCTTTCCTGCCTTCACTACTCCAAGACCCTGGCTCTGAAGATTTATCCTTTCTTTGCCTACTTGATTTGCTTTTGTCTCGAGAGTTTGAAGAGGATTCCACAGTTCTACAAAAAGTGAAAAGCAAGTGTTAGTGAATATATAAACGGAACAATTGCCTTAAGATATCTAAATACATACAAATAGTATGATGCTAGAACATACCTTGATTGCAACTCATGAATTCCTTCATATAACCGATCTGCATGGCTTCTAAATTGTAATATAAGGTCAAACAGGACAAAGAGTGACTTGTAAAGGGTTTGTGATCGTTCACCTAGGAGTGACTTTTCTACAATTGAATGGAGGTATTTCTCATGTGCTGCAAGTAGATCATCAAGATCTTTGGCTACTTCCATTTCATTGGAAAAATTGGACCATGATACCTCCAAGACTTCAAACATGATATAGTATTGCAAGTTTGTAACAAAATGATTCATCTCATCCCAAAGAACCTGGCACCGCCTCAAAGTTGAAAGCAATTGCAATTTTACTGCACGTTGCAGCTTTGTGAATGCATGAGAGGTAATACAATTGGGTTTCATTGTCTTCCAAGCACCAATGAGTGCATGCTCCACCCGTCTAAGCTTCCACAGAAAATTAAAAATTCTTAAATACCTGGTCATGACAGATTCAGTAAATACTGTATCTAGTGGAACCCTAGCATCATATTCCAATGAGAACACATCCCAGCCCCGATCACCAGTGTTATGTGGCATCATCTTAACCCGCAATCGATCTAGTATGTCAGGATCATCATACTGTGCATTAGATGACCGAATTGCACTTTCCAGTAATCCTGCTAGCTTGAAGGAACTAATAGTATTAGCAGGCTCAGAAAGCTCTGGTCCAACAATATCCATCAGGTACTGAACAAAATCACCCTGCCCAAGCAGCAAATATCGCTTGATCGCAAGACAGTGTTCTTTAAACTTATACCTCTTGTATATAACATCCAACAAATGCTTATCGATTCTCTTAGCTGCTTCCATGACTAGAGATTCAAGTGCATCAGTTTCTCCATATCCAAGGCCCCCTCTTCTAGTTGTAGTTCCAGCAGCAGCCGCAGCCTCTGCTGCAGCATCAGCCCAACCTCGGTCATCACAACAGACACGAAGAAAATTAATAGATTTCCCAGTCCTCAGAATACGTTGAGCAAGAGACTGTGAAATAAATGAAGGCAACATTCCAGCATGGAGCCGGTAACCTTCTCTCCAAAGCGATTCAGCTTTCACTGGTTGCCCCACGATAAAGAACTCAGCAAAAATATCCTCCAATTCCCCTTCCAAAACCCAACTCCTCACCATTTCAAAAAGCGGAGAGCAAACCCTCCGAAGCAATCGCCTCATGAAGTCGTGAACAAGTGGGTCACCATGCTGTGCATGCAAATGAATAGCACCAGCCATTGCCCCACCCCTCAAAACTTTACATTTATCAACCAAAACAGCCATTAACCTCATTTTCACCATTGGCTCAGCAAACCAAACAGACAATCTCCTCAAGGACAAATAATTCCCCGAACTTGCAGTCTCCGAAACCAATGGAACTGGATTCATTGACTGAGCCTCTAGCACAGCCAATAACTTATAATACTCTGATAACTCATCCTGCAACGCAGCACAAAATGCCTGTCCCACGGTCCCCACATCTTCAGCAGGAAAGCGATCCATACTCTCTGAAATATACCCTTTAACCTTCCTAAACAACCAACCTAATTCACAAAGCTTCCTAACAATAATTCGAGTAGCTCTAGGTACCTTAACTAAGTCGGATAAAGAATAACCATCTAAAGTACTATCAAATTTCACATACTTCCCATCAATCCCTTGACAAGCATACAACACATCTCTAACCAAAACCTCCTCACTCACTTCATTCTCTTCCTTAACCAAATTTCTTAACTCCCTAAACGAAATTTCACGTAAATTTTCAGGGTCTTTAGACACCAACAAAACCCCATTTTTCCAATCCTTTTCTCTATTATCTTTACCATTCAAAGCCCTTAAATTATTTCCCGTTTCATCATCATTTAAACCTAAATTAGGCAAGAAAACCGAAGAATCCATGCTGTTTTTCGCGGTTTTTCGATCTTCTGACACAATTTTAAGCAAGTAAAGAACTGCCCATTTGTTGTTAACGCTTCCCGGACCATTTTTGGAAGCGAATTTGGTGTAGAGATCAGCGAAGGTAAGGGCATCAGAGGAGTTACCTTGAGTGGCGAGACGGCGCTTGATGGATTCGGCGATGGCGTCAGCATCAGGGGAAATGGAAGGGGTTAGACGGCTGGAGAGTATGCGAAGAGCGTAACGAAGAGATTGGGAGAAATGAGGAGAGTTAAGGTTTGGGCTTTGAGAGTTTTGCTGAGAAAGTAAGCGACGGACTAACTCAATCACTAGATCTGTGACTTTGCGTTGATCTTCTTCTTCCATTTCCGAAAGAGAAAAGGGAAAGGATTGTTTTCTTTTCCTTTTTTCCCTAAAAAGAAGGAGAGAGGGATTTTAACAGTGAGAAATTTGGTAAGGGTTTTTGTTTGATTTTATATGGGCGGGCAAATGGAAAAAAACACTTCTCTTCAATTTTAATTCTTTCTTTATTTTTTTATTAATATTTTAAAAGATTTATATTTAGATGGGTTTTGCAAGCCCATTGATTTGATAAAAATGGGCCTTTTCCCAAGAACAAGTGTGCCCAATGGGCTTTTCCATGATTGTTTCAATATCCATTGAGCAGACAACATATCCTACGATTGGTGATTTTCAAGTCATTGATCAAACTATATTTATATGCAATGTCCACTAATCTATCTACCTATCTATCTATAGTATATATAAAAATATGAATATTGATATAATTTTATAGTGACAAAAATAGATATTATTGAAATATTATATTCCATGTTAGTGAAATACTAGATAATTTTATAGCATTTTTTATAATTATGATTTGCAAAACCAATAACCGCAAAATATATTATTACTTTTATAATATTTTATCTATGTTTTGGTAACATCGAACATACTCCGTGTGTAACTTTTATAATATGTTTAATACGATAGAGTTATTGAAATATTAACTACGAAGTTACTCAAATATCAGATAATTTTATATCTTTTTTGATAATTTGGTCGATAAAATTAAATAACCTGGTTAGTAACTTATATGAATATTCATGACTTTAGAGTTAATGAAGTATTATTATTAAATTACTGAAATACTATTATAGCTTTTTTTAAGAACCTTTCTCCGCAAAATCAATAACCTCAAAATATGCAATTACTTTCATAATTTCATGAATTGTTTGATAATATTAGACATAGTTTATGTTGTAAAAATAACAAAGCATAAAAACAATTCAAGAAAATTTGAGGCGTAAAACATCGTTACATTTTTCTTAACTATTAAATTTGATGTAAAAAGACTGTAACGGTTAACTTTGGGATCTAAAAACTTCTTATTTAGTTAACTTAAAAAAATCATTTATTTAGTATATATTATCATTGCTAATATCAATTCTAATAAATTTGTCACCATTCAAATTTTCCAAAATAAAAAGGTAACTAACTTGTTAAGTAACGCATATAATTATGTATACGGCAGGTGACACAAAACTAGTTTATTGACTAAAAAGGACACTATTTTTAATATATTTTTAAATTATCATTACAGATAATATTTTTTTGAACTCGAATTAATTATAAGGTTTATTTGATAAAAAAGAATTCTACCTTACATTAAAATGCTTTCTTTTATTAAGCATTGGATATATTTAACACCTATATGAAATTCTAACCAAAAAAAAAATTTGACATTCAATTTTCATAGTAGCATCAAAAATAGCTTGCAGTCAACTAGTGTAAGTAATTCCAATCATTTTAATTTCTTTAATTCCTCTCCTTACTGATGAAAGTTGTAGTGAACCTAAACAATATCTGTGTGCACTGAAACAATTTGCAGGCATGTCTGTGGGTGTGGGTATAGAAAACAGTATACAATAACCAATTAAAATTTAATAAATAAATTTTGAGATCATAAAAGTTAAAAAAAAAAAGAAAAAAGAAGAAAACATAGGAATTTTTTACATACAACTTTACATATTTAAAAATGATATAAGTTGAAATTTAATCATTCACTAAAACACACCATCAAATAATTATTGACAAGTTATAAAATATATGAAACTACTTAATTTAATAAATTATTAGATATATATATTGTTTTGAAATTGATACTTTTATATATAGTATTGATAAATTCTAAAAGAGTTAAAAAATTACTACTATTAAATTTTTTGTTGTGATAAAGAAAATATCTTATTAGCTCCTAAAATGCAAAATCTCGTCTAAAATCACATTATGTATGAATTTGGTTCAATTTTATATTAACTTTGTTCAATTATTAGCTGGTTTGTTAATTATTTTATCTATCTAATTGAATATTTATATGACATGAAAAAAATAAATAATAAATTTAAAATATGATTTCCTTTTGAAAGATTTTGAAATAAATAATTCCAACTTAGAAAAAATCTTAAAATATTTGTTGCAAAACGCGTGAAGTACAAAAGAAACACAGGCTTCAGATGTTAGGGAAAACACCAAAGCGCCATTAATTACTGCCATTCAGAAATTTTCAAAGCGAGACATTGATGCACCCATCCACGTCTTCCTATTCAGCATCAGATCATTGGCTGCAGGGCTGAAATCTCCTTGTACCCCAAACTTCAATGAAATTTCCACAGAAAATGTCGGTTAAGCTTTTGAATATTACCCAATCTAATTTCTTCGTTTGAAACCTTCTTATTCTTTATCTCACATGCTTATTGACTCATCAAACCATATATTACTGCGCGTTTCTCCTCTTATGAAAAGTACATGTCACCAGTAGCAGATAAGGAATTGGACAAGATTGCAAGAAGTGGGTAACCAACTGACCATCTCCTCATGCAGAAAATTTAATTAAATTTTGATAAGTACTAAACATATAAAATGATAACATATCAAAATCGCCTAATTATCTTATAGCCGCAATCTCTGATTAAGTATTTGGAAATTATATATTTTTTCTGATTTATACAGTATTGCTTTCAACCACCATTTTTTAAACTCATTGTCTTTTTTTGGTCATTTATTGTCTGGTTATTTGGGTAAAAAAAAATGGGTCGTCCCACATTAAAAAAATAAAGAGCAAGTGGTCCAAAGTTGTGTGGTAAATAAAGGAGACAAAGCCAATGTTCAGAGCTTTACATGGTAGGTGCAAAGAGGGGCCCTGGCCTTTTCCCCAAACGAATGAAGTGGAAGTCTTTCGAGTGCATAACTAGAAGCTCAAACAACTTTGTGGAGATGGTCAAAACCAACGTTTATGTTTGTGAGAATTCTTTTTACTCTGAGATGAATTTTTAAATTATTTTTTTAAAAAAAAGTAAACGTTAATAACTTTTGTGACTATTCCCACTTGTTTCTTTAAAAATATATTAAAACTTCAACTTAAAGTTTAGGCATTGAAATGGGATTGATAAATATACATATATATATATATATATATATCATGTTATCCAATGCCTTTTATTTAGAAAAAAGAAAGTTGTATTATCATATTCATGCATCTTCGTGGAAAGTTGAGAAAATATTGATTTCATGCTTAGTACATGACTTCGTCATTACATTAACCACATTATCAAAAGAACGCTCCAATAACTTGAATTTAATATTAAAATCGTGAATAAAAATTTATACGATAAATATTGATGATTTTTTTTCGTGTAGCATTATAAGATCAAAATATAATACTTAGATTCTTAGAATGCTTATGGTAAAGGTGAATAAAATAAAATAAAATTAATTATTCATCTAAATCAAATGTGATTTGGATAAATTAATTCAGTTTAATTGGTCCATTAAATCAATTGATTCAAAATATTTGATCCATTAGTTTTTTATTTTAAACTTTTTATACTAATTTAATAAAAAAATAAAACTAATTTTTTTTGTATATATTAGTATATATAATATTATATATATTATTTTTAAATTTATGTAAAATATAATATACATTAAATATTTTTAATTTTTAATTTGAACCACCTATTCAATCCTTTACTCTTTCTTTTCTTTTTTTTTTTTTCACCTTGATGGCTTTACACTGTACTCTTTCAATTTTTCTTTAGTCTTTTACTCTTCCTTTTTTTCAAAATCTAAACTTAAATCATAAGTTCTTACGCTTACACAAGTCCTTATTTGGACTTAAAATTATTTACATGAATCTTCATCATTCAATTTCAATGAGATTAAATTGGATATGATAGATACTAAAAAAGTTGAATTAGGTAATTATAATTTTTATTTTATTATTTTTTAATTCTTATTTTTTTATTTTTTTATTTATATATTTTAGAGATGTTAAAGATTGATATTGTAGATTTCATTTTCATTGTTAACGATTAATGAGTGAAAAAGTTAGAAATGCATTCTTTATAGTTCAATTGAGGTAAATGTTAAATTTTATGACTTTTTACATAATTTTTTATTTTTAATTTCTTTTACTTTGTTATTAAAAAAAATTTACTCTAGTTATATTTTTTATTTTCTTTCAATTGTTAGATAGCCAATGTGAGTGAATGTGAAGAGCCAAGTCATAAAGGAGATTTAAGTTGATAATTGGTGATGGTTAATGGTCTTATGTTAGATAATTTTATTTTGTAGATAGTAATTTTATTATCTTTGACCTTTTATTATGTTGAATTTGATGATTTATATAGAAAGATATAATTATATGAGTGAAGGAACAAATGTTATTTTTTTCTCTATTTAGATTATTTGTATATTTTATAATTATAGATTAAGTTTATAAGTTTTAATATTATAATTTGTAAAAAAATAAGTAATAAAATTTTGATCCATTTGTCCAAAATTGAACAAATCGAACTAATTTGATGTTTGGTTAATTTAGTTCTCTTTTATGTTTGGTCCGTTTTCTAAAAATATATGGTCCATCTGATCCTTAGTTATGGTATTAGCAATATGACATTGAAGATAATGGGCTCTTATTGAAGTGGGGATGATATCATGGTCCCCGCGTGAACATATATCTCATATTATCAAGATAATGCTCTCGACAGATTGAGTCACAAAATCTCATATTGAAGAGAAAACTCCTAGCAGAAAGTAAGAGAGGATATCATAGTCCTGGAGAAAGAAGTCATAAATTTCACATCGACTACGTATTAAATTGATACTAAGTATATAAAGGTTCACATCACTTTTAATTGTGAGGTGCTTTTTGTGAGATAAAATCATGAGATCGACGAATCAAAGTGAACAATACATGGGTTGATGTAGACCGTAGCAGTTGTTACCATGTAATCCTATCCAAAATTTAATAAGGTTGTATAAAAAAAAATTTATCAAATAAAACAAAGGAAGTTATCAAACCTGCATGATTCGAATAAACTCTTTAATTATCTAAGCCTTTTTTAAATAGACCTTTAGGTATAACCAATAAATCACAATCTTTATTATATATAATTCATAAGTCACTTAACAAATAAACTAACAAATTGACATATAATTTGAAAACATTCAATATAAAAGGTATAATATTAAAAAAAACTCTAAACTATTAAAAATATTAAATAATATTCTATTTTATTATTATATTTAATTAAGTTCATTAATTTTTATTTTATATTAAATAAGTTCTTATAATTTTTTTGAAGATTAAATAAGTTTTTATAATTAACAGTTGGCTAATTGTTATTAATGAAAACGTCATTTATCATTTTATGTCACGTAGTATTGATATATCATAATAAATGATGACATTACATATTAATATAACTTGATAATATAATTACATAATATTTTCATCATTCATATTAGTGTCACATAAATGCTATATGATATAAAAAATTACAAATGATATTTTGATTAATGACAGTTAATGAATTATTTATTTTAAAATTTATTTAACTTAAAATAAAATATAAAATTTAATTGAATTTAATAAAAAAATAAAAAACTTATAAAATTTGATAGTTCTAAAATCATCTCCTGCAATAAACTTTAGTATTAGCAAAATTCTATCTCACAAAAAGCTACATGATCAATGAAAAGATTTTAATATTATTCGATTTGAATTCAAAATTTTTAAGGTAAAATATTTCTATTTTTAAAATTGTAATCGAAATTTCAAGTGCATCTATTAGTTTTCGAAATGATACTTCATTTTAAAAAAATATTATTTATTAGACACATAAATTTAATTATTAGGTATCTGTTAGTATTTTCATTAATTTGATGACATGACAATATTAAAAATATAATCTTAATTTTTATTAAATTTAAAAATTACTATAATTAAATTTTTATTAATTTAAAAAAATTAGAGAGCAACAATAGGTGCTCCTTGAATTATTATTTTTATTTTTTTCAAAAAAATTATATAATATTTTTTAAAATTAATAAAAAATAATATTTTAAATTTTTAATATTTTTTAATAATAATGTTTATATTTTTGAAGTGAAATGTTTATTTTAAAAATTAATCAATTTATTTAAAATTTTAATTAAAATTTAAAAAATGAGATATTTTACTCAATTTTTTTAACAGAAAAAACACGTATCAACCATTGAGATACACGCATAGCCAAAAACAGAAAAGAAAAAGGACGTCACCCACTTGGCGCTCACATAAGTAAACGTCAACGAGAGTGTAAAAATGGAAAAGAAAGAGCTAATAACCTAAAAGGTAAAAGGAAAATAAAAATCGAATATTCAAACGTTGCGTGCGCCTTGAGGGATCGGTCCACTGGGGCAGGGGAGAGGAGAGGAGAGGAGAGGAGAGGCGAGGGGTTGGGGAACAGCAAGAAATCAGTGCTAAAAACGACATATACAGAAACCAAAATATTTTACTTCCAAATAACCCAAAGAATAATAATAATAAAAGGCCAATATTATCAAAATATACGACAGACGCGTTTGCATTTGCAAAGCAAAGCATGGCCACCATTTGATGCAAAACAAGTCTCCATTTTTCCCATGTGTTCGGTTTAAAACCCGTAAGTTTCGCTGCTCCTTTGGCACTTTGTCTTTTTTTTTTTTTTTTTGTGGTTTCAATGTTTTGACCGCAACCCAGATTTTGTTTGTGGATTTCAATGATGTGTAAAGACACCAAGCTTGGAAGTCTCAACTGGGTATTTGATTTCTTTTTTCCCTTCGGGTTTGGTTTTTTTGGTTTTGTTTTTTCTTTTGATCGGTAATGTTTGAAACTTGAAAATTTGGAGTTTTTGTTTTGTTTTGTTTCGTTGTTGTTTGTGTTTTAATTAATCCAAATGGGGAAGTCGGTTTTTGGACAAACATAGTTTTGACATTGCATCGAAAAAGAGAGAACTTTGTTGGAATTTGGACATTGAGGGGTGGGAGAGGGGGTTGTTTCCTTTCACCATTCCCTGTCCCATTTTCCGGTTCCTTTGTTAGAACCTATAAAAAATTGAAGATTTTTAAATTTTTTGGTGGGTAAAATCCAACTGAAAAAATGGTGGATTTGATTATAATTTGGGAGGTTTTTTATGCTGTTCTTGTCTCATGCTTTGGTTGCTTTTTGAAGGTATTTTGCATAAATAATAAAGCTAGTTCTTTTCTTTCTTATTCGGCTTTATATTTGATTCAAATTGGCAGTATTTTCATTAAAACCTCTGAATGTTGCCTGCTTTTTTAGATGATCATGTTCTTCGGAAAGGTAGTTTTTGGCGAAGCTGGGTTCTATTTGGTTCGTGATTCTTCCTTTTGCTTGCTCAAAGATTCAGCATTTTATAAGAGTGTTTGTGGAAGGAATTAGACATGAAAGCATGCCTGTTCTTGTTGCGCATGGCAATCTGAATTCTTTGATTGGTTGGAAAATAATCCCTTTTATATAAGCTTTTTCTTTCTTCTTGTTCCCCTGCTTGGCAATTATCGCTGAAATGAAAACAGTTAACTTAGTTTTGAAACATACTTCCCGATGTTAGAATTGTGTACCTTTCTCTTGCAAAGATGGAAATTCATTATTCCTTAGAAGAATGGTGCTTATAAACCTGCCCAATACTGTTTCATAGTTTATTGCTGTTTATATACTAGTTTCACTAATCACAAAGTGTTTGGCAAAAAAATTTTTGCTTAAACTTTGATTTCCATCTATATGAAATTTGAAGAGCAAGAAACAAGAAGGAAGAAGGCTTCTTACATGAAAACTGAGATGTGATAAATGGAACTTTTGTATGCAATCATTGCCATGGAAATGATTGACATTATCAAGTTATTAGAGTAACTACCATATATTAATTTATTACTAGTTTACTGCTATTTCTTTTGGTTTTAGAGATAGTCTCTTCTGAATGCTGATATTTGATTGTCCTGTTGGAATGTAATAATGTTGTATCTTTTGTTTGCTGTTGCTAGATTTCTCTTTAAAATGGCTGAGTGCCTTCGGAAAAATTTTACCTGAGAAATGCTTGGTTTTTATTGCAATATGATGAATGAAGCGTTAGCGATTTGAGACTCTTCTTGAAACAGGACATATTTAACTGCTTAAATGAGAATCTGGTTTTAATCTTGTTTGATCTTGTTAGGAAAAATTTTACTATTGGTTGCCTCGCTCCCCTGACCTGCCAAAATTAATGTTTGTGGTGAGAGCAAGTGTGTTGAGTTTCCTTCAAATTGTTCATATGTTTTGCCCTGCTTGTGTTATTTCTTCTGAATGTTCAACTTCATATTATTATATAATTTGCTACATGTTTTGTTTAAAATATCTTCTTTTTGATGACATCTAATATTTATCCTGTATTACAGGTAAATAGAGTGTAAAGCCTTTCAAAAGTACGTAAACATAAAATAATTTAAGTAGTTCACTGGAGATATCACCAGATTTGGAGTAGCAATGGCTCCTGGAGGCAGTGCTTGCAAAGAAGTTGTTGAATCTCATCCCTCTGTTGCAGATTATGACATTGCTACTGCAAAATCCGAGAGTAATACTACAACAATGAAGAGTCCTGTTAGTTTTGTTGGAAAACATGGAATTCATTCAAACAATGGTGTTTATGAACTCCTTGAGTGTCCTGTATGCACAAATTTGATGTACCCACCAATTCACCAGGTTTGTTCACCTTTGTGCACTTATTCTGGCTCCTCCATAAAGAATATAGTTTGTAGTATTTTGTTTTTCACCCTTTTTTTGTTTTTTTGACTGTCACTGAATTTTCTAATTTACTTTGTTGTGAGGGCTATATGTGTGCCTTCTTATGCTTGTATGGAACTAAGTAATGATATCTGTGTGCTGGGGTGGAAATGGTGGTGAAGAACTAGTTGTGGTGCGCTATTTAGTTAGATATTTGGTTGTGCATCCTGTGAAATGTAGGGAATCAAGCACAAGGCACTGAAGGGTTATGGGCATATAGTTATAGGGTAAAAAGGGGTATTTGTTACTATCCAAGAGGATAGCTTATCATCTTGGAGCTTGGTTGCTGCAGTGGAGAGTTATTCTCAGGTGGGGAGATGGAAAAATAATTAATGTACTTGGAAAGCAATTTGAATGGGTGGAAATTTTGGTCAGACGTGGGCTTATTTGGTGTTAAGTATACGTTGGCTATAGTGTCCTTAAGTGATTAGGTTTTATGGGGATTTTTTGCTATGGTATAGAGAATTTGTTCTTAACCTCTTTCTATCAAAATTTGCAAAAATGATTCAGTTATAATTTCTATATGTTGTATCCATTCTTTCTATTACAGTGCCCAAATGGACACACTCTGTGTTCAAACTGCAAGATTAGAGTGCACAACTGTTGCCCAACATGCCGCTATGATCTTGGAAATATAAGGTGTTTAGCTTTGGAGAAAGTTGCAGAATCCTTGGAACTCCCTTGTAAATACCAGAACCTAGGTTGCCATGATATCTTCCCCTATTACAGCAAGCTCAAGCATGAGCAACACTGTCGGTTTCGTCCCTACAATTGCCCTTACGCTGGGTCTGAGTGCTCTGTCACAGGTGACATCTCAACCCTTGTCGCACATCTCAAGGATGATCATAAGGTTGACATGCATAATGGATGTACCTTTAACCATCGATATGTCAAATCAAATCCACACGAAGTTGAAAATGCCACATGGATGCTTACTGTAAGTTCGTTTATGCTACAGTACATGACAGCTCAAATGTTATCATGCTTCTCTGCTAGTTATTTGTGAATTGTGATAAAACATCATGGTTGCAGACTTTTGCTCATATTTTTCTTTTCTAGTTTTCAAAAGAAATTGAAAAGCATTTAAGTCACCTGAGTTCTTTAAATTACCAAGGAGAATACGTGGTTTCTGTACAGACTGTTCAAGTTATAGGTAGTGCCAGTTTTAAACTGCAAATCTCATGCTTCTGGAAGGATTCATTTGACAAGTTATCCATAATTATTTGAAACAAACTACTGCTGTCTTTTTAAATAATTTATTGTAGATCTACTTTTAACTTTCTATACAAACTGTCATAATGTTTTCATCTACTCTTCCTCTGGTCAAATTAAATCTTGTCTTGATATGAAGCCCTAACCTACTTTGTGAACTCTGTCATCCTGTTCAGGTGTTTAATTGTTTTGGAAAACAGTTCTGCTTGCATTTTGAGGCTTTCCAGCTTGGCATGGCACCTGTCTATATGGCCTTTTTACGTTTTATGGGTGATGATAATGAAGCAAAAAAGTTCAGTTATAGTTTGGAAGTTGGTGCCAATGGCCGTAAACTAATATGGCAGGGGATTCCCAGGAGCATCCGGGACAGTCATAGGAAAGTTCGTGACAGTCAGGATGGACTTATTGTCCAAAGGAATCTGGCTCTATACTTTTCTGGTGGGGATAGGCAAGAGCTGAAGTTGAGGGTAACTGGCCGTATATGGAAAGAAGAATGAGATAGGATTCCATGGAGAATTAAGGTGATTTTGTACAGTTTCAAAAGGTTCTGAGTCTCATTCAGAAACAGATGAAGCTTTCATTTTTCTGATGGGGGCTTTCTTTTGTATTTACATGTTGTATTTTCACTGGGATCTCTGTCCTCTACAGTCCAATCTTCTGCTGACCGCTGCCTTCTGCTGAATGTTTAGTGTAGGAAATGATGATTTATATGAGTCAACTTGGTTGCTCAAAGTTTAATGCAGCAACATGTATGAACTTTCCTTTTGAGTCCTTAAAAAGGTCTTTCGGCATCTTTTGGCTGTGATTGCTGATAGCTTCCTGTATTAAACCACTTCCTCATTATTACAAAGTTCTATTTTGCTCATATGTCCTGTTTATTGCCGAAGGTTTTCTGCTTCTCGTCCAAGATATAGCTTGATTGTTATTTGAAAATATTACGAGAAAACAACTGAAATCTTCTTCTGAATTTTTCTGAATCAAAAGTACAATATAGTGAAAAGAGTGAATAAGAATTATACATGCAAAGTAAAACTGACTTAATAATGTCAAAACATTAGAGGACTAACATTAGTTCATCGACATGAATGTCAAATATTTTAAAACTTAGGCTAAACTTCGGAAGAGTGGAGAAGACGTGCTTATTCTTCCTGGCGGACAGACACTCGTAATCTTTTATCTAATGTGCTCTGTTTTCTGGTTCTGGTGATGTTTAGGACTTATAGCATGTACTTTTTCAAACAAATGATAGAACAAATTATAATATTCCAAATTTCATGATTTCCATTTTTGAATATCAAGCAGCTTATTTAATAATCTAAAACCCTTTGTTAATCATTAAGAAACCTTGGACCGTTGACATGGAAAGATTGAAATTTGAAAGGTGACTTGCCATGCATAGTTCCATGTCTCCATCCCATCACATGTATGTATCCAGCAAATCCAATTAGTAAAGATGGACAGTCCAGGTTTAGACTGATAAATCCAACAAATCCAAAAGGAAGATCATGATCATGCACTTCATAAGGCTTTTTCCTTGATAATTACAATTTGGGAGGAGGAGGACTTGGACCCATGTTTCTGATCAGGAATTCATTGCATGACTATCATTGAGTTACCTCACGACATTGATCATGCAAAATTGCAAATCAAGGACCATTCGATTAGCATAAAAACGAAAAAGAATACATTAATAGAGAATAGAAAATATAAGTTTAGTTTAGAGACGTGCAGACGTGAATGCACGTAGAAGTAGGTGTGTTTTAACGGTTAAACTATGAGAGACCCGAGTTTCTCGGAAAACAGGGGAAACATGTGTGTCTGTTCCAATGCAGAGCCATTACAGAGCATGGGGGAACAAACAGAAAAGAAGGGAAAAAAAAAGTTGAAACGACCTTCACTTTTCTGTTTCCTATAAAGTTCTGTATCTGTTTTTGCATTTTTCTCTGTTATCTCTTTCTGTGTCAATCCAACTTTCCATAGCTTTGTTTTGTTCGTTTAACCTTCTTGGGTTGATCAGATCACAGACTTTCAGGTATGTTTGTAATGCTTTGATGCTGTTTGTTTTTTTTTTTTTATCTGAAATAGTGGGACATTTGATTTTGCAATCAAATGAATCATACATGCATTGACAATTGATTATGATCATTGCTTGCATGTATATGTTGCTGCTATCTGTTCATTTTAACAAAATCCCAAGCAGCATTTCAAGTCTGATTGTTTTTATTAAATTTGAGGAAAATTCCAAGGGGATGGTGATTGAACCTTGGACATCACCCTCAGGCTCCTTAGACGATGACCGTTAGGTTAACCCTGAAAAGCTTAAAATATAATATTGTTTCATTTTTTTCCCATGCAGGAAAAGATTTGATTTTGCATTGAATTGATAAAGGAGTCCTTTTCACTGCATGAAAGTTGGGAGGTTTCAACATCCTGAGCTATGTTCTGCTGCGGAGGTGCGGAGGAGGAACCCAACGGCCCACCTGCAAGCCAATATACAGCCCCACCTAGAGGAGGAAACCAATTCGGTGGCGCTGGTAATTGCTTTAGCTTATCTGTTTAACATTTGGAGCTTTATTTGTTCTGTTTTTCCATTCTTCTTAGCCTCTCAAGAGTCAAGAAAATGGTTTTCAAATCCTTATAATGGTATGTTTACAGGCAGTGGGAGAGGAGAGCCAAAGGCTTCCAATGTGGTTAAAAGTGGGGCTCCTCAAAAAGTCCTACCAATTGAAATTCCAGCTATGACATTGGATGAGTTAAATAGGATGACTGGTAACTTTGGCACAAAGGCTTTGATCGGAGAAGGTTCTTATGGCCGAGTTTTCTATGCAAAGTTAAGTAATGGTCAGGATGCAGCAATAAAGAAGCTGGATACTAGTTCTTCGCAAGAACCAGACTCTGATTTTGGAGCACAGGTGAGAGTGAGACACATAAAACGCTTTTCTTTCCACTATTAAGGTGATCTGCGTGGAGTTTGATTATGATCCCATGTTATTGCTACCATGAATTTGCAGTTATCAGTAGTTTCAAGACTTAAACATGAACATTTTGTGGAGTTGATGGGTTATTGTTTGGAAGCAAATAACCGAATCTTGGTATATCAGTACGCGACAATGGGTTCTTTACATGATGTATTACATGGTAAGCACTGTTTCGTCATTCATCTTTTTGCTTTTCTTTTGTTGACGGTATGAGATTTTTGTTCATTTTCAGTATTTTTTCTTTATCAGGTAGGAAAGGTGTACAAGGAGCTGAACCAGGTCCAGTTCTTACCTGGAACCAAAGAGTTAAAGTTGCCTATGGTGCGGCAAAAGGTCTTGAATATTTGCATGAGAAAGTTCAGCCTTCAATAGTTCATCGTGATGTCAGATCAAGCAATGTCCTTCTTTTTGATGACTTCATGGCCAAAATTGCCGATTTCAACTTGACAAATCAATCTTCTGACACAGCTGCTCGACTACATTCGACTAGAGTCTTGGGTACATTTGGGTACCATGCCCCAGAGTAAGTCTTGTAATCAGCATTTTAATCTGTTTACAACTATAAAGTGCCAAAGAAGCCTAATTATGGCCGGGTCTGCACCTATACATAAACTGATTTAAGTTTTTAAAACTTAGCATGCTTGCAGATTATTTCATTGAAATGAAACCAAGACAGATTATCTTCTTGAGTGCTAGAGTTATAGGGTACCTTCATTTTTATCTTTGATCCTCTGATAAATCACCACAAAGTTATAACTCTAAAGATTTATGAAATTTAGAATCACTTCTAGTCAGGAACAGATTTTCTATGCTTATCTACACTAGGCACCCATTTTGTGATTCTTATGCATTTGTGCATATACCATCTCTGGTTGCAACCCTTTTTCAATTTCAACATCCAATGTTCCAAAACTAAGATACAAGTCGTTCCAGGAACCATGACCTTGAAAATTTTCTGTGTCTGCAGAAGTTGCTTTTATCATTTTCAAACAATGAAATTAGTGATATCGTACACGGAATTCTATCTAGTATCTGATTCATGTTATTGCCACAAGTAATGAAATCTTTTGCTTCAACGTTCTTTCTGTTCAGAGACTCGAACAGATTCCCCGTAGTAAATTACAGTTGCCTGTTGTCTTGTACAATGACCATTATTTCTCCCAGTATTCATTCTAACTTTCTTTCTTTTCTGTTTAGGTATGCTATGACAGGGCAGATAACACAGAAAAGTGATGTATACAGTTTCGGAGTTGTTCTTCTAGAGCTCTTGACAGGGAGAAAACCAGTAGACCATACAATGCCGAAAGGACAACAGAGTCTTGTTACTTGGGTGTGTTTCTTTTCCTATTTGTATCTCCTGGCCCATTAGATGTGCCTCTTGACTCACTTTTACATAACGCAGGCAACTCCAAGATTGAGTGAGGACAAGGTTAAGCAATGTGTGGATCCCAAGCTTAACAATGACTACCCACCAAAGGCAATTGCCAAGGTTGTTGTCTCTTCTGCTGCATTATTTTCCATATGACCAGCTGGTTTTTCACACTGCAGTTAACTTTTCCTAGCAATGATTGACTTGCCATTTAGTGGTATCATTGTTTTTTATATATTATTATTTGGATATCTCAGCTAGCAGCAGTTGCAGCACTTTGTGTCCAGTACGAGGCAGACTTCCGGCCAAACATGACAATTGTTGTCAAAGCTATTCAGCCTCTTCTCAATGCAAAACCAGCAGGAGCAGAGTCTCAAGCATAATATATATCTGACCTGAAAACCAGTAGTGAGGCTCATGTACTTGTAACTCTTTCCTCATGTTTTGTAATCTCATTACACAATCAAGTCCATTTTCCAATCAATTATACTCCCCCCAGAACCAGAAGGACCATTTCTTGGAGATTAAATCTGCATTCTACTCTTGTCTTCTTGCTTTTGTTGTTACTTCTTGAATGCTCCAACTCCCAAGTTTTGAACCTGATAAACCCAAACTAATCATGGATTTTAAATTTCTTCACCCCACCTCATATTATAATAAGAACCCTAACAGATTTTTTTCTTTTTATATATAAAATTTTTCTTATATCTCTTTACATGTTTCCTTCATTTATTTTCAACAACTTCTTTTTATCTTAACCATTATTTAATTTGAAAATAACTTTATTTATTAAAAATTTTGGATATAAAAACATGTTTGGATATTTTAAATTTGAAGTCAGTTTCAAATTTCAACTAATTTCAGTTCAAATTATTGCAAATATTTTCATTTTAAATTTTAAATTACTTTAAGTTGGATTAAATCGGATATCGCATTATTTTACTTTTGAGTTATTTTCGATTTAAATTAAACGTAATTTGAATTAAAACTGTATTTTACTATATTATCAAATTATAATCATTTTAAAAAAAAATTAATTTAAATTAATTAAAAAACTAAAAGAAAATTAGCTGGGCCTAATTTGTGGCCCTTGGAGTTGGATCCTAACGGGCAACCGCTGCCCCCTTTTTTCTCTTTCCTTTTAACCTCATGTTGTCTTTAAGCTGTTGACCCTTTTTTATATTATATAAAAAAGAAAAAAAATTATAAGAATTTGACAAGTTCCATTATTATTGTTATAATTAGAAGCTTCTTAATAGTATAAGGATTTAAGATAATCTTCTAAATATTTCGTGCTAAATTGCAAATTCAATAATGATGTCATCTTTTAATAAAATGACAACATCTGCCTCATCTAAACTATAAAATGAAAGATGACAACACTTTCTCGACAAACAAACAACATTGCTTGTAATATTTTTTTCTATTTTTTCATTATTATTTAGTTTTTGCTTTTATTGACGAAAATGAATTTGAATATTATTTTTAATACCTAATTTGCAACCAAGCATGATACCT